TGCATAGCACCAGGCATTGTCCTTAAGCCACACGAAGAAGCACATAGCTTCATCTCAAGCTTTCGTCAATGCTTCGGTGTGGCTTTGTAGGCAGGAAGCACAGTAAGAATAGTGCAGTCGGCACCTTCCCTGAGAGACTAACAAAACCCTCCTGGAGTGTGCTCAGCTGCCAGCCAGGGAATAAGTCTTTATTTGACTCTTGCAATTGGCAATCAGAAGAATGGTTGCCAAACAAAACGGGGTCATCTTTGGGGAATATGGATTTAACTAGCCCATATACAAAGAGAGAGAGAGAGATTGTAGTTGCCAAATCACTCAGTAGTGAAAACCTTCAAGTATCTGGAGTTGCATAACACCTCTTATAACATAATGCTTGGACCGGAAAAAAGAACCTAAAATAAAAGTAATAAACTATTGTGACTTTTGTTTTGTGCCAATGGATTTATGGCATCAGAGCATTCGACATAACATCTGTGTGTGCTGCCATTTGCCCTTTTAGTATTTTTCCAACACTCCATAGGAAGAAGCACTTTGCAATTACTGGAAGTGACAAATGGCTGCTGTATCATTTCTTTATTTTTGGAAAGGATGTAAAACTGGAAAGGTCCAGCCCATTGCCTAAAATGCATTCAGTCAGTTGAGAATTTGCCTTGTTCATGCAAACATAGAGGGACTCTAGATCTTCTCAAATGTAAAGCAAGAACAGACAGTATACATACTATTTTGCTGGTAGAGCTTCACACCATTTCCTTTCACTGTGTCTACATACGAGCATTGGGGGGAGCACGGTAGGAATCAGCATAAGAAATTACCTTCTCCTTAAAAACAAACAGTTGTTTGCAGGTAGCACAAGGAATTTTTGTCCCCTTATGTGTTACTCTCCCTAAGATTACTTTAGCAGGAGGTAAAATCTCTCTTTGCAGTATGTGTGCTCACCAATAGGCTGTTATCTGTATTCACCTTTTTTTATAGTTAAATGAGATAAGAGGACTACCCCACTCCTCAGTGTAAGCTTTTATCTTCTTCCAATATAACACTTGGTATTAGCTTTCAGGAAGATAATTTATTTTGCTAAAATCTGTCAGGTTACAGTGGTTTGGACCATTAAAAATCTGAAGTTTCTGAGAGGAAATGTAAATCCACGAAAACTCCACATCCTTAAAAATAAATGGCCTAAAAGTCGAAGGCCAAAACCAGACAGAGTGGGTACTTTATGTATGACAAACAGAATGCAGGGTTATATTCACCTCCACTGATGTGAATTGATTGAGCGTTGAAGTCTGGGAACCTTTCTCAATGCTTTACATAGTGTCTCTTAGTTGGTGTCTTGTAAGCATCTTTATTTAATGGAATTTTAGCGCTCTGTTTTATTTTACTGATACTTGTTTATTTTGCTGGCAACTGTTTTGAGTTGCTGAATGTAATGGTCAGTTCACACGAGTGGTTCTGTGCTCCTTGAAAATTCCAGTTTGGGGGTGTTGCACTGAAGAATCTTTGATAGAGTACAGTATGAATAAAGGAGCTACACTTTTATTATAGGAGGTCTGGTTTTATAGCTGGAGATAAATCTTCAGTCATTACCTATGAGAGACCATTCTGTTCAGGTGAGCCCAACTCATCATGCAGTTCAAACCACCTTGTAGCTCAACCCGTGATTATCATCATATTTTTTTCATATACAAACCTTCTCAGCAAAGATGTGGTTTTCTCCTAAATTGTCACTACAGTTAATAAAAGGCAGATTCGTATGCGAGCTTATTAGAAATGACCCTTTCAATGACAAGGTTTTCATTTACCTTTTTTATGTCTGTCAATGAGCCGTCTCTTCATGAATTAAGTTTTCATACTGCTAATGTGCCAATCAAATCAGATGCAGGTCATAACTAAAAAGGAAGTTTGGAGAAATTAAGTGTATGAGCTCTGTTACCTTTGTCAACCAGACTTGCAAGCATGGCAGAATTTATATTAAATCTTCTTGACAAGGTCTTTTTCCCATAGAAATATATTGCCTGGTATTGATTATGATCATTTCCTTTGCATCTTTACAATTGCTTTTAATAATTCTGTTTTTATAATTTTGCCCCAAAGCAGTGGCAAGCTGCATCACATATAATGGCCTCGTTTACCCTTTTGCAAATAGTAACAGAGTCCAATTTTTTTCTTACCTACTCTCCGGGTCTTACTCACTATACGAAGAATGTTGTGTATGTCTGTATATGGCATAACAGAACAAGACCAGAGGATTGCGTTGTGACTTCTAGGCATCCTTCTGACACTAAATTATTATGCAGAAAAGGTATATGTCCGGTAGAAAAGCTGTTGTAATCAGGCAGTGAAAATAAAGCCATCTTAAAGCCACTGATGATCAGTGTTTATTTTTTAAGCCCCTTTGTTTATTTGACCTCTTGTGTATGGTAGTATAAATAGGAAATAGTGGAATGTCCATGCATTATTGTGCCGAGAAGTGCTTTCTCTGCGAGTTCAGCTATTCTGCGTAAATTCAGTTTTCTGCAATGCATGAAGATCGGATAGGAATGTTCAAATATTTAGAGAAAGTACTGTATAGTATGTTTATAATGAAACATATTTTCTTCCTGTCCCATTTTTCTGCCATGATGGATGACTTCCTCCTTCCTAAGTATTCTAGCTGTATGGGTTTACGTGTACAATAAATTTTCCTGGAACAGTAACCATCTGCTGAAATGGAAATTGCAATAAATGTCCTGACAATGTTTTGAGAAACACAAGTTCCCCTTAAGGAGGGAACCTACACCTGGAAAAATACCCCACTTAACCAGAAAACACCCTACATCAATCTTTGATGTCAGCACTTTCCTCAGTTTGATGGGAATTTCCTTGTGCCATGAGAATTCAAAGCACTTTGCATCCCGGACTTTGTTCTTCCTGGAATGGGTGTAGAACCAAAATCTTTTAGACTTTCCAGAAAGCAATAATGTTACAAAAACTGGTGTTGGGTGAACTATATATGAATTGTACCATAGTTGACTTTATTTTCATTTATAGATCTTTTCAGATGAAACACTACCAAGGAGAAGTGTTTGGGACAACAATGAATCAAGGGTGCTAATTTGATGTAGGGAGCGATCTATGTGCCTAAACATAGGCATATAGGGCTATTTCATACTCTAAGGTATCCAAGATATCTAATGAAGCTAGGAGATATGATACAGTACCTATAGGAGACCCAAGCCCTTCTGAAGCAGCAACTGAGGTTGGATAGGATGCTGTAACCTGTAGTGCTGCATTCTTAAGTGTTAAGAGCTCCGTTCTTGCAAAACTAGATCGAAATGGGTTGACCTAAGAAGAAACACATTATTCTCTAAAAAACAAGAGGCAATAGTGTGCAATCTCAGACAAAACAAAAGTGTGGATTGTGGTTATGTCTAAGTGCAGTTAAGTGACATGAGTACTTGGCTGAAAAACATTTTATTGGCAAATTTAGTGTCATTGACATCCTTTCCCTGACCAGGAGAGATGAAAATACTAGCAAGTAGCTAGCAGAAAGAAATCTCAGCTGAAATTCAGTATTAGCAAAAAGCAAGGGGAGATCTCATTGTATTTTAAAATATACCACAGTGAACTATATTAAACTCTGTATCACATTAAAAGTACTGTTATATTCAGTGAGAGCTCAGTACTACTTTTGCCACTATACAAATTTGCTCTCAGACCTCTTATTTATATTGACCTGCTGGGCATCCTATTTATTTTTACCTCAAGTCCCTAGTAACATGGATGATTCATTTCTATTCTATCTTTTCTGAATTGTGGCCATCCGCATTTCATTGCATAAATCCTTTAACTTGTTTATAGAGAAAAAGAGAAGTGTTTCTTTTCTTATAGTATCAAAGACTATCAGTCAGAAAGCTGCCAAAATACTTTTACACTGGAAAAGTCCTGAGTGTGATATGTCTGTGTTCTGTTTTTATTAATCTTTCACACACTGAAATAGGAAATTAAGTTAATGGAAAATACGTGATATGACAGCAGTTGTTGCTATAATAATATTGTCCAGACAAAGAATGTTGCTGAGGAAATTATTCCATACTATTTTTGAAAGGACTGTCATGCAATACCTTTTTTCCAAAGCAAAGGCCAATGATGCAGTATAGCTCTTTTGAAAAAAAAAAACAAACCCCATATTTTTACAGTAGTTATTTGAAACTTTTCCTTGGTTCTGAATTCATTTTGATACAAATTCAACAGGAAGAATAAACCCATCTCATCTCCAGAAATCTAACATTCTATTTAAGTTCTGACTTCACAGCCAAGTTTAAATGCTTAGTCCTTTTAGTAGTTGGTTATATGAATTTTTAACCTGTTATTTATGTAATATACAATTAAATCACAAGGGCAGTTGAACAACTGCTACCTGTTAGTGGATTAAAGAATTACCCTGGTAAAGGAAGCCAGTCTAACACCTATTTTATTTTATGTTCTGATCCTTTGAACTCAGAGGCAGTCACATATACATGAATATCCTCACTTGAAATTCAGGGCAGTATAAAATCGGCCCCTGTATATGAGCTTGCAGGACCTGACATAGACTGAAATCACACAAATGAAATGAAACTGATGTTGACACAGGACTGAAATCCTGAATCAATTGCAGTGTATTGCTCTGTGCTGGCTGCTTTTCCTGATGAACTCCTGAAGTTCAGCTTTCTTCCACTGAAAAAGTTTTTGCTCTAACACCATTTTATTTCTTTATACAAAAATGTTAGTGAGACAGCTCCTTTGTTTTAAAAGCTAAAGGTGAAAGCCATTGAGTACGTTTTTTATCTATCTGCATCTTTTATTATCTCTCTCTCTCCACACACACACACACACACTCCCCCATGTGTATAAAAAAATTTATATTACATAAAAAATTATATCTTTGTGTGGGCATACTCCATATTTCTTCTTGTTTATTCAAACAACTTTTCTCATTAAAAGTGAACATTTGGTCATTCATTTTTTGATTAATTTTAATGTAGGAAGTCTCCAACATCCACTTGCTATAAAGAAGACCAGATGAGAGATGTCCTAGAATTAGGTAAGTTACGTCAAGCTTCAGTTTGGCTTTTGTCATCATATTCTTCAGAGCAGCTGTAACCAAATATGTACGAGTTGCTTCTTTTCCAACTCTTCGTTGATTCAGAGTAATTGCATTTGCTGTTAACTTCTTGGGTAGGACTGTGTAAAAAAGTCATTAAGAAGTAATCAAACAAAGGCTGGCTTATGTATTTTTTATCTGTCCTTTCTGGCTAAAAGTATATTTTCTTTTTCATAAAGACAGATGACAAGAAAGTGTTAATTGTCATATTGATGACCCCCTGGCGCTGAGTCTGCTGGGGGAAATAATTTTTTTCATCCAACACATTATATGATTTTTTTTTTCTTTCAGTTGATGTTGAGGATGAAGAAACAACTGGAGAAGTTAGTAAGAACCCGGATCTTTCAACACTGTATATGCGTCAAGTAGTATCAAAGGCAATTGATATTTCTCTTGCAAAAGTAAGACTGACTATGATGGTAAATACAAATAGATGTGTGCGAATGTTATTTCAGTTAAGTTATCCAAAGCTGCAATGGATTGCTCTGTGTTGCACGTTTGCGTGTGATTTAACATGTGCTGTATTCATTCCTGAGTATATTCCTTATTTGGTATTCAGGTGAAAAAGTAATGTAGGGATGCCTGTCCAAAATGCAGAAAAATACCAGAAGAGCATGCCAGAATGCATCAGCCCACTTGAAGCACAGATAATAGCTTTAATTAATGAAGTTTGTATTATTTTGTTAATGCCTCTAGTCAGTTATTCATGTGCTTATTCTCCGGTCCTTTAAATTGACAGAGGATCAGAACAAGTTTATTCCCCTATCACTGTTTCTCCCTTGCTTATCTTCCTTATTTTGAGCAGAGATGGAACTTTTAATGTTTTCCTTCCCATTCAGAGGGAAAAAAAAACAGAGAAAAGATAATGAGGGTGTCTTCCAATTTCATTTCTAATTCAAAGAGGTCTGAGTTATTATACAAACACTGAGCAGTCTGTTCTATTTACTCAGCTTTACTTTAGCATGAATGCAATTTCTTCAGTTTAGCTATTCCTGAATAGTAGTGGTCTGCAGTTGTTCAGGGCCAAGATCTGAATTTGGAATACAGCACTCAAATGTTTGAGCAATATTTATCTCATACCAGCAACTTTGACAGGCAAAACAGGCGGCCTTTTCTCCATACTGTGTCCAGCAGGGTCCTTTACTCCCTAATGTAACCATTAGTAGGCGTTGCTCTTCTAGCTGTTAAATTTAAGGCAATATTCTGTAATGCTTTCATGGGAAACTGTGCCTCAGACGACGCATAGACAGTTTCCTATGCTGAGCAGCACACAGCATTATGAGTTGAAGGAATATTGCAGGAAGAGGAAAAAATTGCTCCTTTTCATTTGAGTGTTGCTATTTACAGTATGTATAAAACAGAAAAGTGTGGTTATAGTGAGTTAGTCATTACCCTTCCACACTCCTTTCTTTTCTACAAATTACTGCAAGAAAATGTACCTGTGTTTTGGATTTGTTTTTAAAATGAGAACTTTTTTCTTTCTTTTTTTTTTATAGGAATTAAAAAATCTTTTGTTTGGCTCTAGTCTTTGTTGCTTCAGTGAAGAATGGAAAATACAGAGTTTTACATTTAATAACATACCACAGTTAAAATACGGCATTGTGCAAAAAAAGGTACTGTAAATGACTTCCTTAAAGTGATCTGTGCTTTTTACACTGAGTTTACAAAGGCTGTGTGTTTCAGCAGTAAAAAAAAGTCTTCTAAAGATTGACTCTTTCTTTAACTTCTCTGGTTACCACTGGATGAGGTCACCTTGTCAAGTTCTGTTAGGAGACTTGAGATGGATGGAATATTTCTGAGGGAATCTTAAAGTAGCTACAGAAAGTGTGCATATGTGTGTGTGTGATGTGGAATTATTCGTAGGGAAGAAGACAAGCCACTTCAGCTGAAAGCTAGTGGTGGTAAAAGAATAAAAGGGCATAAATCAGGGGTGGAGTTTAAGAGAAAAAGGGTATGTGGGGGCAATGTTTAACAACTTTAAGATGGAGCTTGATCTTCTCAAAATGGGGGGATGTAGCAAGAATTGTCTGCACTGCCTGGGAAATCACAAGGAGATTTTTGCCTCTTAAAGATATGGAGTTCACATGATGAGGCTCATTCCTAAAATAAAAGGAAACAAACGCCCCGGCAGTGTCACTGGGACTGGGACACTGGGACTGCTGGTGGGACCACCTTTTTTGCAGCCATGTTTCTGTAATTCTGGACTGCAGCCACAAGATGCCAGCTCCTCCCTAAAACAAGTTTTTCATCAAATCCTAGGCATCATCTACCAAGTGGCCCTTTCTAAAATCCCCTGTGGTGACCAGAGCTGCCATGACTAGGATCAGCCTGGAAAGCATGTACCCAATCCGTAGAAATTTTGGTGCTAACAGAGATCTCTCTGACCTAGAGCATTCAGTGGGAGGCTCACTCATCTGGTGTCTATCCTGTCAACCTTGCCTGGGCACCTGACTCCTACAGATTGAGACTGCAGTGCCTCAGACTATCCTTTTGCCTGGCCCTGTATGCCGGAGGCAGTCGGTCAGCCTGGTTTCTCAGCTGGCCAATGTGTAGACTCAGACCAGGGACCACATGCAGGGCACAAGATATGTAGCTGCCTCCAAAATCAAACAGATCCATTGTAAAAATGCATCCTCCTCAGCTGCAGCTTAATGCTTTTATCTCTGCCCTGTGACTCTGTACATATGCTTCTGGGATAACCATGCACCAGGTCTCTCCTCTTAAGAGCAAGGATCTGAGGACTTCAGTAAAGATGGGAAGAAGTAGACTCCTCTTTACTCCTCTTTACTCATCAAGCTTCTGCGCTGATGCAGAAAATCTTTATCTGGCCTGAGAGAAGTATATATATCATTATGTACTATACAGAAATGAGAGGAAGAGAGGCTTTGGGGCAAGGACAATGGCTAATAAACATGTCATTAGGTGTTTAATTAACTTACCTTGTCTAGTTAAATATTTCATTAGGCTGATTATCTCAGAAGAAAGCTGCTTATGTTTAAATAAAACCTAGTAGAAAAAAGATATTAAATGTTTATTTAAACTCCAAAAGGAGCCATGGCAGTAACGTTCGCTGGTCCATAGTAAATGTTACTTTGGTGTTTCCAGACCCTGCTGCTAGAGAAAGGATGTCTCATCACTTCTAGCAACTCACTGGCCCTTAAATTCCCTACCATAAATTCCACAACAGGAATGGTAAACCAGAGTGTTTTGCTTAGATCTGTTTATTTCAGATAGTTGATATATTCCTCCTCACTTCCAGAATTCATTTCAGCTGAACAATTGTTTGATTCTCTCCTACCTTAATTTTCTGTGGTGCTATACGAAGATATTTAGAATAGTTCCTGTAATTTTTTTGACTGGGAGGCTTTCCCTAGTGGACTGAAATAAGCCCTGTTTTTTTCCTTAATATATTTCAGATAATTCACTCATTAGTTATCTAAGTAATTACAGAGAGGTAGTGTGTGTGTAATATAAATGAGAAAATGGAAGGTGTCAATATCTAAGCTATTTTCTGATCAGAGGACCTTTGTTTTCTGGGTTGCATACTGCGCGTACTGCACGTACCTGCAGGTCCTGTTCCCTTAGGCTTGATGCTGTACTTAAGACAACCTGAGAATTAAACTGATCTCTGATCACATTGCTGTTTGAAAATAGCGGCGCTGGCTGCACTTTTCATTCTCCTCTAGGGTTTTGAGAGGAGTTTGACAGATCCTAAACTGATTCATCACAACCTGGTCATGATCTACAGAGGAAATCAGGGGTGCAACTGTAGCATATGACAGCAGTGTCATCCTGGGTTAATCTCAAGCTATTGAGAGTCACAACAGTATAGACTTCGGCATGGGTTAAAATCAGAACACAGACTCTTCAGAAAACCTGCTGAAAAAAAGTGGTCCATACTTTCTTATCCTCATTGTTTTTCTTACTTTACCTGGGTAGACAAAGCTAGCACTAATATGTCAGCCTATATGGGACGTTGGTTTAGGGAAGAACTGTGTTAAAGTAATGAACTTCTTAGTGTTGAGAATGAACCCGTTTCTGAGAATGGCAGCATGTGTTGACAGACACATGGGACAGCATCTGTGGGATGTAATGTGCTGAATCCTCTGTTAAGCTGCAGTAATTCCCAGTACTACCGAAGTGATGTGTGGTATTGTGGTATCTGTGATGCTAGTCCTGTGTCCTGCATAGCCTGCTCCGTTCATGCATAGGTGTTCCAGGCAAATGATGGCTTTTCTCTGTCTCGTCAGCAAACTACTTGAGTAAATAATATGATATGAGGCACCTGGGAGAGAATTGAGTGACAAGGGAAGGAGAGTTATGCTGGGTGAAGTTTTCTAGACAAGAAGAGGACATACCATTTACTTCTCAGGACAACTTGTGCAGCTGTCTCTGCCATATAGTTAAGCCCTAGGAACAAGTCTTGGTCATGCAATGGGGTCAGGTGGGCTAGATGGCAGGGAATAAGCAAGGAGAAGGAAATACATTGCTACCCCATCCCACAGCCTTTCAAAACGACTATAAATCTATTTTCCATAAAGTTTAAACTTAATGTGGTATTTGTTGGTATTGTGATTTTTTTCCAACATTAATCATTTGAAAGGTTCAAACTTCCTTTGTTTTCTTTCTCTTCCCCAGTGAGATAGCTGCCTGGTGCAGAGGGCTATACATAAAACTGAAATCTTTGTTTAGTGATATAAGTGGGAACTTGAGGGGAGGCATAGTGCTCAGAGGAGTTAGGCTTATTTTCACCCTTTGGAAAAGTCATATTTGATTTCTCTCTGGAAGTTAAGGTAGACTGTGGCTCAACACGGATCAGGAGATCTTTCATTTGTTTGCATAATCACAGAACAGATTTTTAAAAAATCTTTCCTTTGACGTTATAGATGTCTAGGAATTTTCAGGAAAAAAAGGTGGGAAACACGATACCAGTTAGTAACACTGATTTTCTTTGGCTTGCAAAAAAAAATAGAGCACAGAGAGCGCTACAAAGTCATGGATGGAAAGAGAGAGATGAAAGAATGGCTTAAGCCTGAATGGAAGCACATGGCTTGCAAAAGTTTTCACCAGCATCAAACAGTGCAAATTGTTTTTCTCATGTTGTGTGCCATTATTCCCCTCAGGGTGGTCCATGTGGAGTACTGGCTGCAGTTCAAGCTTGTGTCCTACAACAGCTTATCTTTGCAGACAGTAACAGGAATAAAGACACTCGGTAAGTCAGCAATTGACATCAGAAATATGTTCCATACAGAAGTAAAAATTTTTTTTTTCTGCTGCAGCCACTCAGGAGCCTTTTGAGTTTGAACTTATTGAACTTCTCTTTGTCTCTGAGAGGGAAAGAAAGTAGCATATGATTTGCTTGTATTTACTTCCCTTTCAACTGTAGGAATTCAGAGGTTGGTGTTTTATTTGTAGAATTACTTGCTTGTGATTAACCCAAGAACCTCTAAAAAAATCCAACAGCTTGAATTGAGGCCAATGAAAATTATTTAACCTTGAGATCCCATGGAGATATGATTTCAAGGAAAATGTAGTCAAGGTTTGAAAGACCATGAAATTCATGCAGTTTTTGAGACTAAGAATCTCAGGAAGGGTGAAAAATTAAAGTTATAGCTGTTTTTTTTTTTCTTGCTGCTGTGTTTTGTCTTTCACAGATAAACTCTTTAATAGAATTTGAATTGAAATTCAAATTCCGTGTGTGTATTTTCTGCTTACTTTAAAGGAATATTGTTAAGTATGGCAGTGTCAAGGAAAATTGCTTGGACTGCTATAATATATAACGTACTTGTCACTTTGTTAGACGAACAGAGCTTATTCAATGAAATGCTGCAAAATAATGTCTAAAAAAATTACTTTTTTACCAGACTTCTTGTATTCGCCTTTTGTTTTCAGTAAGAAATTAAGTCCATTACAAAAGAAAAATTTCACAAAGATTTCCTGTGCTTTATAGGTACAGTTTGTTAAATAGCATAACAGTGTTTTACTGGTTTACGCTGCCACGACTTTGTGTTATTTGTGGGTGATACATTGACCCCAATTTAGTCAGAAGAAAAGGTTTCACGCTGAGATTTTTCTTGAACTTCATTACCTTACAATGTAAAAATGTTCATCATGTATAAAAATTTGGCCTTAAATATACACTTTTCTGCTTGGAACTGTTTAGGAAAGTGACAGGGTCTCTGTTGATTTTCCTTAGTTTTGTCTGACTGGCACTTAATGTAAATTCATTGTTTTGGCTGTTTTCATCAAGAATGGAAAGAAAAAGGCACCTGTAGAACACCATTATTTGTCTGCAGCACCCAGGATGGGAGGTGACAGTTAATCAAAGGATTACCAGGCCCTAGGGGGTCCACACAGGTGCCCAGGTCCAGGAGTACTAATGGGTAGGCAGTTCTGATACGAGACACCTAGTAAGCCATTAGAAATGTTGAAAACCAGGCTTAGAGACTAAATACAATACTGAAAGTTTTACCATTACTACTACTATTGCTGTTGCTAGTCATTGGCACTGACCGCTTGCAGACCCCAAGCCAAGGGCCAAATAAACAAGATGCTATGAATTCATCACTTGAAAATTGCCTGTTTCTTGAAGTCACTTAAAGGCAATTAGCATGGACTGATAAAGAGATAGGGTCAGTGGTATAATACATGTGCAGAGTGTAATGTCAAGTTAATTCTACAATGTTACGCAGTTTAGTTTTTTTCTTCTTCTCTTCAGTTCTTTCAGTACATCACATGTCTGTAATTCATATCAAGAGCCTGTAATTCATATCAGAGCACACTTTTTAAAAGTGCAAAAATTAGCTAGCAAAAATTTATTATTCTAATTCAGATTATGATGACAGTAGACTTTTCAAGGCAGAATGAGGCTCTTGCCCATGTAAAAGAAAAAACTCGGAAACTTCATTCAAGAGAATCAGTACCTATTTAGATTTTATGACCAGGAATTCACAGAATCCACAGAATACACGGAAGAATTACTTCTGGTTGTGAAAACCAAGAATTTGTTTCAGCTTGGAGGACAGCCTTTGATCATCTGCTCCTTGGTCCCTTTGAGTCTCAGTTCATCCTTAGTAAAAATAGAGATGTTAACCTTTTCCTCTTTCAACATGGTTCAGTGATCGTAAATGTCATAAAATTATGTGGCACCCAGATAAGTGGATTGAGGCTAGATTGTCTAAACTATAAGTGTTCCAACGCATGCCAACTACAACCTATCCTGTTTACTTGGCAATATTTGCCTCTCCTATTTTTCCCCTCCTGTTATCCACATGATTTAAAAAGATTTTGAAAATATTTGCCTCTCCTATTTTTCCCCTTCTGTTATCCACATGATTTAAAAAGATTTTGTTTTTACATATTTTGTATGTGAAAAATGCTGCTGTAGTATGCAGAAAGTCTCCAAGGAAGTTCAAGGTTAGCAGGTGAGGTCCTTGTCTTTACGCACAGAAATGCTAAAAGCCTCCAGGCTCCTAAAAATGAATAGCAAGATGGGCTGTTTTATTCATGAGATAAACATATTTTTCTTACGATGTGTTTGCCATGGGCAGAAACTCTTAGTGAGGCAGAAAGAAAGCGAAGTCTCAGAGCTTGAAATGAGAGGATTAATATTCCTTTCTAATTCTAACCTGAATTTTCAAATTATTAGTCACTTCACAGTAAGTGTTTGACTTCAGGCTTTTTCGATGTTCAAGAAATAATTATGTCTCCTTCTTACTCTGCTACCTCTCTCAGACACATAAATTACTTGCTGTGCTTCCCGTAAATTTCTGAGTGTCTGTATTAGAACACAGGCAGAGATAAGAGAAAGTTGTGATTATATTTTTTTTTACTTGAAAACTCTTACCAAATATTTCCCATATCTCACATCCTTCAGAGAGGGAAACATTCTCTAAATGAACATTATATCCAGGCAGACATTGAACTTGAAAGTCTGTTTAATTTTTTGATGTTTGGTGTTTCTTGTTTAGTCTTTTGAATTATTAGATCTTTTACTCAAATGCTGGGAAGAGGTTCTGACGTCATCTCCCATGCTAGTAACACTCTAAGACTGATACTATCTGAATTTCAAAGACTGCCATTCTTGAAGCCACTAGAGAAAATTCCAATTCTGTGCTTCCCAGGGGCACGGATCTGTTGTCCACTTCTTCAGGCTCATGGATGTTGGGTTTTATTTTTAAATCTGCCAGTTTTCCATTATGTGACTTTTGGTCTCCTGGTCTTTTATTTCTCCATTAACATCTTGGAAGTTAGAATAACAGAAGGAATTAGAAAACTTCACAAAACACAGTTTGTAGGAAATGTGTTGACAGCATTGTTAACATGTTTGGGATCAATAGACTACTGTAAACATTCTGTAGTTTTTCACATCATTGTGTAGGTTCCAAGCCAAGCATCTAAGTGAAAATATTTCAAAAACCTTGGAGCTCCACAGACCAATACTGGGTCAGTTACCATAATGTTTTAGGTCACCGTTTTGGGGCATACGTTATTAAAAAAATGCAAGCATAGTGTTTATTGAGATGATACTTTAGATAAAGTTTAGTAGTAGGTAAGAACATTATGGTGTAGTTTTGTTGATAAGAGTTAAGAAATAAAAACTTAAGAGAGAAATTAAGTATGAAGGCCTTTATAAACTAAAAATCATATTTAATATACAAAACAATCCTATTACAGAATATTAAAACAATTTTATTACAGATATAAAGATGAATTAGCTTCTCTTGTCCATTATTTGCCAATATAGTATTGTTCCCTAAAGTACATTTACTTGTTTTTTTGTCCAACCAATTATAAATATGTATTCTGAAAGAGCAGCCACTATTTCTTATAGAAGATTAGTTTTCAGGGTATGATTATAGATCTGTGTATAATCAGTTCCTCTTGTTGAACGTACCTTATTTAATCTTCTCTTGATTTTGGTCCATTGCTTTTAATGATAATAATAGTTTTCTTTTAATTGTTCCTTATAAATCAGACACCATCTTTAGTATTAATCTCCTAGAAGTAGAGATTGTACATTTCATCGCTTAGATTCACCTGTATTACAAGGGTATTGTCATAGAACATATAGACATCGGCTAGCAAGCTTACAGTTGCTTAGCTTAAGTACCCTTAACAGCAGTCTAACCAACATTATGAGCAACATAAGCTCATCAGATCCCCCAAATGCAATACACTGCTGTTAACACTTGACTTAGGTGAATTAACTTCCCTCAGATTTCTGTTTTGCTTCTGACTTTAGAAGAGACCTACCCGTTGTGCCAGACCTACCCATTGTGCCAGACCTACCCAGTTTCTTTTAGTAGCAATCTAAAGAGGAAGTTGTTCTAGATACAGCTCTATTCACTGGATCTGATTATCTTCAGTAGGATCTAAGGTACCTTCTTAAATGACTAAAATGAGATTTAAGGTGGTTCACCTCAAATAATAGTTCCAGAAAGCCCATATTCCAATGGTGACTTCAGTTGCATCTCCCTCTTTAGAACTCTTTAGGTGCTGAACAGCAGCACCACATCCTCCTATTACCTGTTCAGTCCAGTGCTGAGAAGTCTTCAGTGCACAGTGAGTGCTCTCATGCCATTTCATTCAGATGCTTAATCCTCAGAGAAAGGTCAGATTCAACGGTACCTTTATACCTGGCATGTCTTCTCAGTAATGATACTAGCTCCCTGTTCAACTCACAGGATTTTTTTGAGTTGGCCATCCAAGTTGTCTCTCTCTTGACTATAGAAGGAACTGAGATACCTAGATGATAATTTTCTGAGGCAACTTGCCAGAGCCTCATTATTAGGTATTACAACACCTAAATAGTCTCCGAAAAAATGCTTTTGTTCTTTTAGCTACAAACCTGCTATGAATCTGTGTATATTGTAATTGGGGCAGTTTGCCCTCTAATAGCTAAGCTTCCCAACACACATTTTCGTACTTGTCTGTTTCTTGCATTTCCCGGACTGCAGTTGTCTTCAGCCTTCAGAAGTTCACAGGACCAAATGCCTCACCATGGCTATTGCAGACATACTGTGGCGTGCAGGAGGCAATGAAAAAGCAGTTGTGGCACTGTAAGTAGGAGAAGCAGTTTTAGTTATTGTACAATGCTCCTATATTTGTGTCTGTTACATATGTACATAGTTTACAAAATGAAAGTTTTGTAAGATGTATTTATGCAGTCTAAAATGGCTTATGGAGAAATGCAAAATGTCATTTCTGCTGTCCCAGTAGCTGGGACAGAATAGTCAATTTCTTTGAAATTGCTGTGACAGATCCTGTGAATTTCATTGAGGCTAGGATTCCTCCAAAATCTTTACCAAGAGTTATTTTTCCAGATGCAGCATTTTATTCCAACAATTTTATATTGCAGGATATTCTATTATGGCTGGGATTAATTTCCTCTTGCTGTAGCTGCCTACTAGTTACTTAGTTCATGCTATGCAATTAGGCTGCTTGTACAGAAGACAACTAACTTTTAGATCGCTAACTTCGGCTGTGCTGGATCCTACATGATATTTTTAAGTGAGTCAGGTTTTGTGAGGATAGGTCATTTCTTTTATTAGATAACTAAGATAGCTGAAAAATAACAGAGAAGCTTTTGGGCACAGAAGTCCTTCTTCAAACCTGAAATAGAAGCAGCAAATTCAAAGACATTTCAAATGATATTTTGTGTATTTCCCATCTATAAAATGCTTCCTCTGTGATGATATTGTACATATGTTCTTCTGCTTGTTTTAATGTCATTGCTCTAATATTCTTTTCCAATAAAAACTGTCATTAACATCTTAAACCTGTATTTATCCTCTTTCTGTATAGAGAAACTTGTAATTCATATTAAATAGACTGAGAGAGCACAGCACAGCTAAAGTATATGCTTCACTGATAAAAGTTTGTTTAATATGTAACGTGACCTTATTATGCAAGATGTCCTTTTTTAAAAAAGTTGATAAAAATAATAATACAAAATCTTTGGCTCATCATTCAGTTCATATAACATGTTGGTTTCTCTTTAATGCCATTTTGTTCCTTTTAACATGAGTTTTGGATTTGTCTGAATATCCTCTTCAGGCCATCAGGAAGACAGCAGTTCACTCCCGTAGGAAAATACAAGGCAGATGGAATCTTAGAAACTGTAAGGCTCTGTGTAATTCGCAGTAACATTCTCCGTATATCCTCTTTCTAGCTTTTCCTATTTTAGTACAGCGAATCTGATTTCCATTGCTCTCTTAGTGTTTTAAAATCTTTTATGTCAAATTAGTTAGTTGTGATCCAAAAACCAATAGCAAATAAAATCTTGTAGTCTGTCTGGCTGTGAGTCGTCTCAGTGTCTGTGGGGAATTGGGCGCTCTGAAGTCCTTTTTGTTCCATCTACCTTTCAAGCTTATAAACTGTGCCTACTTTTATTGATATGCATTAACAGTGAACATGGATCCTTTCGAGTTGACCAGCATGGCTGTGAGCATCAAAAGGCAGTATTTTCTTCTTGTCTTACACAGAATTCTTTGCCTTTTTTTTCCTCCAGAAGCTCCAAATGGCAAAATACTTTCCAGTTATGCCTTTATTTCCATCTGAAGCTCTCAAATGGCTTTGCAAACAGTGATGCCATAAGCCAGGCTTTAGTGATTTAAGGAAATATTACTGACCTCCTAAATGGAGGAATGGATGTGTCAACAACTTTTTAGAACCAGACAGTTTTGGAACAACTGGAGGTGAAAACTTTTATAAATAGGGTGAATGTAGCAGAAAACCTTGGCTATAATATGCTCTTCCAAAAGACAAGAGATATTATTTAATTAATATGTTAACATAATTCTGAGCTGCTGGCTATTTCAGAGTGCAACTAACGCCATTATGCTGCCTCTAAGTACTGCTTATCAAAGGTCATGTGGACATAGCCACAGTGAAAATGTGATGGAAAGGAATATAATCCAGACTGCTTGATCTTTCCTCACATAGTATCTGCAAGACCATCATTTTTGTCAAAATCTGGAGATGGAAAAATAGACAAAGAATGTTGAAGTAAGGGCCTGGATCTGTGTACTCTCCTGAACTTTATGTGAAATAGGAGTATTCATGGGAGTATTCTCTGAGTATGATAAGAAGTGCTCTGATCCATGCCTGCTATAGGTGGCTCACCACATAGGTACAAACTCCTGAGCTACTTGCCCGTTCTATGTCTTCTAAAGCTGCAGTATTCCTGTATTTCTTCTAGGAATTGTTTTTCATTGCATAAACAATGCTTAAAATTGAATCAAACTGTCTGTTCAATGAACTTAAAAACAACAAGAAGCAATATTTAAAAATTGAGAATATACAAAGTGCTGAGATACGATATTATACCAAGTAACAACAGTAAGAAGAAGGTCTCAGTAGATCTTTATTCCATTTCGTTAGTTCAAATCTTTCCAGTCAGATTTATAGTTTTGGCTACTTTAGTTCAGCTTTCAGTTATAAAAATGAGTTGCTATTATTTCAGTTACTTTTTTTTCTTCTTACATTTCTTCCCAGCTAATACTACATAGTGCTACGAAATATGAAGATCTGATTGTATTTCTTCAGCAGAATATTCACCAGGTACTGTGTATAGAGAAGATACTAAACCTGTTATAGTTCAGCTGTCAGTCTTTCTGTGTTTATCAGTTTCATATGATGTCTTTTGAACGTTGTTTCAAACACTATATGAACATGTCTTGCATTTTAACAAACAGAGCAACAAATTCAGTTTTAGCATACAACAATTCTTTCTGGTTTCAGTTTGATTTGCATTTCTTTAAGATTGGGCAGAAAATGTACACAACAAACAAAATAAAAACAGTCCTTTTCTTTTTCAGTTTGAAATTGGTCCCTGTGGGTGCATCCTTCTGACTGTGTCTGTCATCTTATCAAGATCAATCAATCTGTGAGTGTCTTTGTATCCCTGTTTCATAAACTGCAAAGCTAACAAGCTGTGCAAAGTGAGGAAACAACCATCATGTACTTAACTCTCTGGCCTTTTTAATCTATCTTGGTGTTTGATAAATATAGGGAAGTTATGCAGATTACTCACCTAATCTTGGCTTTTTTTGGTTGTATACACACACACTTGTATATGTATATATGCTATTAAAGTGGCAGTGATCAGTCCATCACATCTGATATAAATGACTTCATCTAAACATTAGGCATCATGTCTGAGGTAGTTGCCTATGCTCCCTGTCTTGACAGTTGAAAACAAGACTCATTTAGAAGGTTATTTATTTGACATACTTTAGGTATTTGTCTTAGGTTGTGACACTTGTGATGCCCCAATTTCTCTGTCAATGATAATGTTAAGGAAAGGCAGCAGAAAAAATGGATTATGCAGCTGATTTTTAGATGGTTATAAGTAAGGTATGACAAATATGGTCTCTGTTTATTGGTGTAATAAATATGCTGAGCTCTATCTAATGGGTAGTCATTATAGCTTCTTTTAAAAACTCATTGAGGCTCGCCCAAGCAAGGTTGCAGTTAATCGTGCTTTTATACAATAAATAAATAATCGTGCTTTCATATATCAGTATTTCTGTGGTACTGATTTCTGTGAATATCAGAGTGGGTCAGAATATAAAAGCTTTCTTCATTTTGTCAAATTCCACTTTTGTAAAAAGTTCCTAGAATTATCTGCAAGTGAAAAGAACTGTTCCCTGACAACTTGCAGTAACAACTGACACGAATAGAGCAGCTGCACTTGAAAGCAGCACGGATTTGATTTGTGTAAGCTTTTATTTCATACATCTCTGCATTGTCTTGAAAATAAATAGAAACTTAGTCCAAATTTGTGATATGCATTCAGTTGCTCACCTACTGAGATTCCTACAAGCGTTTACAGATTGGGTTTTTCTGTTTTGTTGTCATGTCTTCCTTTCTTTTGATTACAGTAACACTACAGGCCATTGTCTTAGCTCCACTTTTGCACTCTAACAAAAATGATGTGATAATTTTATAGCATATGTTATTTATTCTCATTTTTCTGAGCTAGTTACAGCAGAGAGGTCCAGATTAGTAAAGGTATTTGAGCAAGTAATGATATATTTGGCATTTGGTACGATCACCAAAAGCAGCAATGATCCTAATTGCTATTGATTGCATTGCTCTACTTGCTATAAAATGGTAAACATTCTTTAATAATATAAGTAGGGAGCTTATTTTTCCATCGCCTCTCAATTCCTAACAGATGGATTATGACAAGGCCAATCAATCATCTCTATTTCTATTTGGGGGAGCTAAGTGTCTAAAGTGAACATGAATATTCCTTATGGTGCCTATTTGCATTTTTAGGTATCTAAATATTTTTACAGTTCTGGTCCACAATGTCAGAATTCTTTATAAAATGTAGCTGTATTTTGAGGAAGATTCATGACTTTCTCACAGAATTTCATTTTAAAGTACCGTTAGTCTTCTAGCTTGGTACTGTGTTACACATTGCATTGGTACCTATCTTTTGTTTATAAGAAACAGGAATTTTTCTCTGTCACTAGATACAGTGGAATGTGTTTCCAGACCTTTGCATAAATTTTTTTAAAGTGCAAACTAAATTTCGTTTATGTAATTTTCAGTAATAGATTTGAATGGCTATGTCATAATACTTCTCTTAGGATATTACAAATATCAAGACAAATAACTCACTGCTCATATCATCAAGAAATATGTACCATTTAGTGAGTGTTACAAGCATTGTAAGTAATTATTTACATAACTGGCATAGTTCTGGATGAATAGTTGAAGACAAATAAGAGTTGTTTTAGGTAATGGAATTTTCATCCAGTAATAGATCTCCCTGGGATTTTTTTTTTGTCCCAGTTTTTTAACAGAAAAACAGTGGGTTTTATTAAAAAAAAAGAAAACTCCGTGGAAGTTTGAATTGTCCTGATTTTTGTGTGCATATTCTATTGAAAAAGCTAGATAGATTATTTAATTTTAGTTGAAAAGTTGACATATTTTAGTTTCTCAAATCATGTTGAAATGCTTCTGTTTGGGTCAGTTCTTCACCATGTGCCCACAATGCTGACTCTCTGGGGTCCCTTGGTAAATCTCTCTTCTATAAATAATTGACAGTTCTTGTAAGCAAGTTGAAGACGAAGGATGGAGTAGTCTTGAACCGTGGTTATCATAAAACAACATTGTGTAAGATGCAGAGATATGTCCAATGAAACCAAACCAAAGTATTTACATTTGGTTCAACAAAGAGAAGACTGGCATTTTGATTAATGAACATTGAAATGTTTCTTTCAATCAAAAATATTCTTCCCAATGTTTTCTGTTCCATGAATAATTCCCGTGTTTACTGAAGCTTTCACTTCAGGATATAATTAGAAGAAAATAATAATACCTTATTTTATATGGTGGGGAAACCTTAGTTACAAATTAAAAGGCAGAGCACTTTAAATTAAAAGGCAGAACATGTGGACTAAATGGTGAGGTTGATTAATTGAAGGGAAAGTACCACTGTACCAAAACTGTGCTGTTCAACCCATCCAGAACTGATCTGGAAGGAGTGCAGGATAATGAGACCACAAAGCTTACAGACTTCCTCCGAGCAGTCACATCTGTGGACGGATGCTTGCCATGTCTATACAGATGGAAGATGGCATGCAGCTGTGACCATGCGACCATAACTTGGGAATGATAGCTGCAGTAGCTGGTGCGGTTCAGAATGATCAAGACCTGTTACACCTTCTTAAATCTGTGACTAAGTTCTAGCAGTTCAGAAGGATCTCATAGTGCCAACAATGGAGTAATCTCATCTAAGTTTTGCCTTCTAAAAATTACGCCAAGTCTCTCCTCCCGGCTCCCTCTGTAATCAGTGAAAAGAGAGAAGGTCTCTTCATCCAATCTGAAAATAAGTGTCAGGAAAGGTGAAGAGAATTGCTGTGGGCAGAGCCTATCTTTTGTCTTTGATTTTGGAGGGAGAACTACTAAGACTCCTATTTCTTAGATGTTTGCTATTTTGAGGGTAATGACCTATCTTAGTTATCTTTATTTACTTTCTATGAAAATATGTGCACCTAGGCTTCCTTTACGCTCAAAAAGAGAAAAAGATCATGATTCATTTGACTTATTTTGAATGTCCACCTTAGAATGAGATAAATCATCTCCTGAAATGCTTACTTATCTCCCCTATATAAAAAGAAAATCTAGATGACCTACTGATGTAGAGGCTTTACACTGTAAACATCAAGTGGTGAAATGAATTCTGTCTTATAGTGACTGGTCAATAAAATGGGAGATGAAATTCAGTGTTAATAATGCAAAGCATTATATATGATGAAAAAACAGTCTCAACTATACTTACCTAGTGATGGACTGTAAATAGGCTATTATAAAAAAGGAGAGAAATTCTGGCACCACTGCTAGTAATTTAATTATCTGAAGATATCAGTTCAATTTTCTATGATAGTCAAAAAAGAAATAATGTATTGGAAGTTATGGTGATAAGAAATGAGAACTGAATAAAAAATTGGTAATGTCTTTGTATAAATACATGATCTTCTCATGTCTTTATCTTGCATGTAGTCTTGTCTCCGTAGGTCAGTAGAGACACATTAGAACTAGAACACACTGGAAGACAAAAACAAAGTTTCCCTTTAGTGTGGACTAGCTTCTGCATGAAGACAGATGAAATCTTTCCTTTTCAGCATTGAAGAGGAATAAGTTGGATGTGATAAAAATTTGGACATCCATTATAAGGTTAATTAAGGAGTGATTATACATTATTTCTCAGAGTCCAAAAACTTGGGGGTTGTCATGCAGATGCTCAGGCTTCAATTTTAAAACAAACTACAGTACTTTTTTTCCACAGCATAATTAACTTTCAGTATTAGGAGATGAGGAGGCCAAAAGTATGAAGAGGTTCAAATAAATTTAGACAAATTACTGGAACGTACATGCTTCAGTACCTTTAAACCCACCTGTCTAGATGTAATCTCCATGTGCCCTGTTTTTGTGTTCTGCCTTGATGTTTGCTTCTGCTGCTGCTGACTGGATGCTGGGATAGGCTGACTTTTGGTCTGGCTCCATAACTTTTACATTGTTACTGATTTTTCTTGTAAATGGAAATTCCAGATTTCATGTAGGTCTATCAGGCAGTTGTTCGAAATCACTGACAATCTGAGTATTTTTATTTAATGGGAACGCATGCCAGGAAATGCAGGGTTTTGCACTGCTTTGTAGATTTTGGTAATGAGTTTATCATACTCCATGCACTAATGATCATCACTGGTAGAACTGATAACAAATAGCCAAAGAGGAGTGAGAATTCCTGAGGAAGTTGCTGAGAACGTGTTGTTGCTTCTGGTACAGGAAGGAATGCTAGTTGCTAACAATTGTAATCTCTTTTTTTTTTACAACCGGTGAAAAATTAAAAAATAGTGGGCGTATTGTACTAGCTCAGGGGACTAATCTTCCTGAATGTGCAAAATGTGTACTAAAATCTTCGTGTTGTTAAGAGCTACAAGACATTTTACATGTACCTGGGAGAGACTGAGCTTAAAGGTGGGCTGCAAGCCCCCATGTGGGCCTCACTGTTGCATGTGAGAATGGCACATTGCATGTAGGAAAGTTATGAATACTCAGGAGTGGTTTACACTGACCCAGGAATGGCAGCTTCAGTAAACTCCACAGTCTTGCTGAAGGTACAACATATATTGGAACTGCATCACAAGCTTTCTCTACTAGATGCTGTCTCATCTCCTCTAACACTTGGCACCTTCCTCACTGTGCTTACTCATGCAAAACCATTGCTATATTGGGATGTGGCTGATTCTGATCCATTCATTGAAAAGCCTTCTTTAAATTTCAGCTTCTAACCAACCAGTCACACTGTCTGTTTTCATTGCCATATTTTTCTTAATCTGTGCAATAACTTTATGGCATAAAACCATA